ATGGTTAAAGATATTATCTACATTAAAACAAAAATTGTGACATTTGAATTATCTCATACCATGAAGATTGAAGATCCGAGTGTTACATGTTGTTTCATTATTTTTCCCATCTATCCCATTCAAACAATTACCTATCTAAGATTAAGTTTTACAAAAGTTAGTGCAAAAAAACAGTTGCGTATAAGAAGGTATTGTTTTTTAAGTAATTTTATATTTATCGCTTGATTTATAAAATAGTAACAAACGTTTTAATATTGAGCGATACATTACAAACAATTCATTTTACTTTTTGATATAAGACGTTTTATGATTTCTAATTTTATTTATCTCTCTCATTGCTCTAACTTTAGCCTAAACTGTTATAACTTATCCATACGTAGTAATTGGTAACTGGATTTTACCAGTTAAAGTAGTAAAATATGACGTGAGATTCAATTTACGTTTTATCACGAAATGAAATAAGAATTTTAATAACTGTTTTAAAATTGTGATCACAAATTTGTGTCACTTGAAATACTTTTTATTTCGAAATAATTATTATAAATAAATAAAAAATAATTCTAATAAATTATAATTACTATAAAAAGGTATAATTTAAATCGATATTATTGAGGGAAATTTATTATCCCTATCGAATCTTACGTCATTTTTCTGAATTTCTCGTCTCCGAATGCTTTCGAAATGAAATTCAGTAACGAATCGGTCGAATCGATGTAAATGGGCTTTAGATTATCAAATAGTAGTTATGATTAAATAATTTTTTGAATTTATTTTTAAATCAAGATTTTATTTTTATTTTATAAAGTTTACTTAAAAAACAAATCTAAATTTCATAATATTCGCGATAGAGCTTTTTTGAATCAGATCAGTGTCTCAATATAAAGATTTTTTTAATTTACATTTAGTTTTAATCGGATAAATATATTTTAATAAATAGATAGGTATTTAATTACGCAGAAACGCGAATAAAGAGTACATACAAAATTTAATCGTATATTAATTGGAAATGTTGTATCATCTCATTGACAGTTTATTTTCGTGTAGTACAATTAATTTCATTAATATGATGGCCCTTCGCGACGCGTCCGTGTTTCGCGCATCGAACAAAAGCGTAATAATTTTACTCTTATTGCCGGTGATAATCGGCAGGCAAAAAGGAGTTTCTCCTTTTTATGTTGATTTCTGGTATCCAGAAATACCAGAAATTATTGGCCAAGATCATCAAAAGGTTAGTTTAATTTGGCCAGAAGAAAGAAGACGAAGAGGATCTACAAGGTAGGTTCGTTGGTATGTAACACCAATCAAAGGTACGAAGGTAAATATAAAATGTAAGTTAAATGGTCTTTGAGTCGATACACTACCATGTCTCTTGATATTTGGGAGGGCAATCACTTTCGGGAGGGCCAAATTGTCGAAACATAAGAACTCGCAAACTAAATTGCGAGTTCTTACATTTCTAAAATTTTCTTATTCGTTTAGTATCGCGTTTAGGTCATCCCGCTTATTTATAGGCGAATAGGCACGAAATAAAAATACGGATAGGCAAAGTCTAATTAATATATTATATAGGTAAAGAGAAAATATAAGTCCTTATTCCGTTTCACACACGATGCGCAAGATGTATAATTTTATCCTTGTCATTTACCGAATACTAAAGATGAAATGGTACATTCGCACCATATGTGAAACAAAACCATTCATAGATATCATACAATACTTGATAATTGGAAAGAAGGAACTAAAATTGAATAAAACTTTAAATTTTATTCAGTTATCAGCATTCTGTTCCAATTAGCAAATATGAAGATAATATATTATAAATTAATAGTTTTACATTTTTTATTGTATTTTCAGCAAATCTTTATCGAAATTTAATTTAACAATGTAAAATATTATACAGATATTACTTGTGTAACGCGTTAATGTTGTAATTGTGATTTAATTTTATTGTAAATAAATGTTTATAGTATTGGATGCGCAATGTAAAATTTATGTAAACTATGTCCAGAAAAATGTTATCAAATTAATTTTTGTAATTTGTACAAATATACTAATAAATTATATCATACGTTAATTAGACTGTTAGGGTATATAACGATATATAATAAATTTTATTTGTATGTATCTAGAAACTATACATTTGATAAAATTATGTGTTCTTGTACGTATTTTCGACGTTTTCGTGTAATCCTATTTTATTATATATAATAATGTAATTTTTTAATTATGTTCTCTCTTAATATAATTTTTCATGTATTTTGACAGCATTTATATTGTATATATTATGATTGTAAATATTATTATTCTTATATATTGTCACTGTCATTGTAATATTCACATAGTTATTGTACAAATATTATAATTATTAATGTATTAAATTGAATAAAGTATTATATCCAAAGATAGCATTAAATATTGTATTCAAGATGTACGAGTATATAACAAATAAAGAAAAATAAAGAAAATAAAAAATATAAATATAAAACAACAATTATCCGCAAAAACAGGCTGTTGTTACGATGGTCCGTTTTTTACGAGTATAAGTATAATTTATAAAGAAAAGAGGACCGCCGATAAAATCGGCGGGGGTGGTGGAGGGCCTCTTTAGCTCGTTTTTGCTAAATGATTTATGTTGCTTTTTCAAGAGTACATTCTTGGGAAGCATTAAAAGTTTATCTAGGTAGTCAACGTGATAATAAACAAATTAAAAATTATGTATATAAAGAAATATATAAATAATTCCTTTTATTTTTTAAATAAAAAATAATAACATAAAGGTACTTAATAATATTAAAGTTTTATATCGTTTTGAGCCTTTACATATTATTTAATTATGATTTATACAATTCCAATAAATTGTGTCACACTGTGTCGATTCATATAGGCATTATTTATTATTACTTAATTTTAAATCATTTTGAGCCTTTACATATTACTTATAGTATTTACTTTTAAAAAGTACAGTATTTACCTTTTTTTATTGTAAATTTTTATGATATTAAAAAATCCTAATATTACAATGTCAAGGTTATAATAGTTTTTAAATTAGTAAAATAATTAAAGAAAAATGTTCTTATAAGTTAAAAGTATTTTTAAACTTGTATTACATAAATACTTTGAATAATATTACATAAGCAACATTGTATTAATTTTAATTTATAATTTATTTATGAATAAGAGTAAATTCTTAATTTTTATTATTTTTCTTTGTTATTAAATAAATAATTTTAAATGTTTTAACTTTTTAATAAAAATATATATTTATTTATTTTAAAAAATAATTATTTATTAATTTATTTGATTATTTTATTTTTGTGCATATATTGTTTATTATTTATTATTCCTTATCCTTACTTTCACTCTGTGAAAGGTATAATGAAAAAAAGATATAACGGTATAATATCTCAAAAATGTTCAACACATCTTATGTTTATTGAAAAACGTATTCAAAAAACATCCTAAAATCTTTAATAACATCCTCTGAAAAAAATAATATAAAAGGGTAATATATGAGAAGTGGATTAGGCCTAATGGGGAAACCACTATAAAAAAAACGCATCATACTATCTACCGCAAGGTGATGTGGAAATGATAGTGTTTTCAAACTGTCATTTTCTTGATATAGAAAAGATAAAAGAAAATTATTTTTTAATATATGATTTTACGTTACAAGCTACTCACATGATCATTTATTTTTAATATAAGTGATTACTCATTTTGACTACTTAAGTATATATTTTTATTAATAATGTCAAATGCTGATAGCGCGTGCGTAGCGCGCGCCTGTATTGTTCTAGTAACTAGTTTATAAAGAAAAGAGGACCGCCGATAAAATCGGCGGGGGTGGTGTAGAGGGCCTCTCTACTCGTTTGTACTAATTACTAATAACTATATATTTAGTAAGAACGGGCTAAGTTAACATAAAGAAAACAACTTCCTAATTCCATTTTTATACAGACACGTATTATAAGACAAAATTCGTGAAATTAATTTGTTTGAATATTTGATTTCAAGTTTCTTAAAAGTCAGCAATTTTCATTTCTCTATTAGAAGATATACAAAATTCAAAATTTTATTTTTGATAACTCATTAATAAATTTTGTATTAGTATTTTTCTGATTTCTCATATACATATATACGTTTCTTTTCAAGAATAGATGATCTGAGAATCACTCTGTTCTGCAACCATTGAAAAGCCTTGTCGACCGATAAAATATCGGCCTAGTGGTTGCAGTGTTCAACAGAGAATGCCGCTTTGCAATTATTATAAAATTCGTGTTTTGTGTGCACCAGTTCGTATTTTTTCCTTTTTTCTCTAGAAGAAGAGAAAAGGTAAAATGATGAACTGGTGCAAAAGTTCAACCAAAAAGAACTGATTCTGACTTGGTCTCAGACACATCGATTGGTTGTCTGCTTTGTTTGGCTAACGGATTGATAATCATGGACATAGGGAAGATTCAAACCAAAAAATCATGGACATAGGGAAGAATCGAACCAAAAAATTGTGGACATTGCCGACACGATCGTGGACATTGGCTACATAGTTCAATGTCCACGTTTTGTGGACATAAAGGCGCTTCAAAATAAAGTAACAGTTAAATCCCGGGCATGGCTAGAGATCCTATATAGGATCTCTAGGCTTACCACTACGTATAGTCGGTAAGACAGATTTCCTAACCTGAATAGTCGTCAACTTTAACATTAAATATCTCGGTTCGTAGGGCAGAGCGACGCTTATTTCTGCCAGATTCTTTCGTTTCATGCAAAAACGCGTCGAATAAGCCTAATTTGATCGATTTTTAAGCTGCTCGAGTGATTCTGTATAATTACCTTTTTCTAGATAACCATATTCTTTTCCTGCGTCATTTTTGATTGGTGACTTCTTTTTCATGAAAATGCTACATACTGCTTTTCTTTTCATTGTGAATACCGACTAATGCGGTCGCCATTTTAACGTCAATCGGCGCGTGTCGCGCGTGATGCTCGATAGGTTTTGATGATTTCGAGCAAATTAACAACAATTCTCGGAATAATCTCGTTCTCAAGAAGACGTGAGTCATGGCGGAGTATTTAGCATCTATTTTTGGTACCGAGAAGGATAAGTAAGGAGAACTCATTTTACCGAATTGTAAATATATAGAGACGCAAGTGACTTTTATCCTAACCTATGCTTTTTTCTTTTTTTTTTCAGAGTAAACTGTTCCTTTTACTTCAAAATCGGTGCCTGCCGTCACGGCGATCGTTGTTCACGTATTCACAATAAACCTACATTTAGTCAGGTATTGAATAATTAACTTAATTTAATTTTAAATCCGTAGATAATTTTATTACGATTTAAATATGTTTACACGACAGAAGAATCAATGCTTATTTAACTGTTAGAAATATCTTTTAAATGTTTTAATATAAATTGTTGATGTGTATATCTTTACGATTAATATTCATCTTATATTCTTTCATTCACAATCTTTAACTCACTTTAACTCTGTAATTAATTACAATTGAAAGATGTAAATTCATGAATCATAAGATATAACAGCTCAGGTACCAAGCTAACTTTGTTTATTTGTCATCATTTTGATGTTAGAATGCTATCAAAGGTATCATTTTGACATCAAAATGACGATAAATAATGATATAAGATTAGTTGAGTTGAGATGAAGTTTAGAATCAATTACAAATCAATTTTCTCACATAACACTATTTATCATCTCTTAAATATTTATTATTTAAATATTTCATATATTGAAACGAATTAATTTTTTTCTAGACATGCCTGCTACAAAATCTATATGTGAATCCTCAAAATTCTGCCAAAAGTGCAGATGGTTCCCATTGTGAGTACATCCTAATTCTTACAATGATAATCATATCTATTTTATCTCAGTTTGATACATATTTTATTAAGTTCTTTTCCAAATTGTATAAAAGAACTATGTGACTTATTCTTGTTTTAGTGGTTGCAAATGTATCAGATGAAGAAATGCAAGAGCATTATGATAACTTCTTTGAGGACGTTTTTGTTGAGTGTGAAGACAAGTATGGCGAAATCGAAGAGATGAACGTGTGCGACAATCTTGGTGATCATTTAGTGGGTAATGTTTACATCAAATTTCGCAGAGAGGAAGACGCGGAGAGAGCTGTGAATGACTTGAACAATCGCTGGTTTGGTGGTCGACCAGTATATGCTGAACTTTCGCCAGTAACGGATTTCAGAGAGGCTTGTTGTCGTCAATACGAAATGGGGTAATTTAACATTACTTCCTCTTGATTCCGTACCATCATGCATTATTTCATCCTCATTTATACAAATGAACAACAAAGACAAAAAAATATCATGCTTTACAGAGTAATAGTGCTTTCTAAATAGAATCCATTCATGCAAACGTCTAATGATGAATGAAATCAGTTATTTCATATCTTCTGTTTTTCTTTTCATTTTAGAGAATGCACGCGTTCTGGATTCTGCAACTTTATGCACCTGAAGCCCATCTCGCGTGAACTACGCCGTTACTTATATAGTCGTAAGAAGAGCGGCAGGGGAAGATCTAGATCGCGTTCACGTTCACGCGGCCGTGATCGCAAGCGACGATCGCGATCGCGTGACAGACGGTCGAGATCCAAAGATCGCCGAAAAAGGGACGACAAAGGTAGGGACGGCAGATCTGGAAGATACTAATTGTAGAAAATTATTATTCGTTCTGACTGATCTGACATGACATTCAATGGATGGACTTGAATACGAACAATTTATCTTGTGCGTGCTCCAGATAAAAGTATGTAACACACACACACACACGTCTTATATATTCTATATTTATACATGTAATCAATAGAATTAGTGCTTTTCAATATTGTCATTTGTTAATAATTTAGCGACTCCGAATTAATTGAAGGATGTCTTTTTCACGCAATGAAAAATGACAGACACAAATAAAATATAAGCATAGAAATATATATTTTTTATTTCCGTGTTATATTTTCATATAAATTATCGAACTTAAACATATATTGTGAAAAACGATGCACGCAGTTTGGTGCATTTTATGAATACAACAAAAAATTTACGTATGCTTTGCAAAGATGTCTGAATCGTCTGCAAAGAGCATCAATATAATCGTACATACACACATCATTATTGAATCTCCTTTCAAAAAAGCAAGTGACGATAACGCTTCTTTTTGTCGGATAGCTATCTGAACTTTTTATATTTAAATTTAAATTGCATTTTGAAACAATTTTTATATTTTCATTTTCTCATTACTTCAGTAAAAATGTATATTAAAAAGTAATTCCAAATTGTATCTATCGTACAAAAAAGAAGCCTAATGTGGGACACAATGACAATTGCCGTAAGGCGCAACTAGGTGGTGAAAGTTTATTGACACAAAACGGGTGGTCAAGTAATCTAAAGTTTAAACGCTAAATAATTTAAAATATTCACCTTTCTTATTTTTTTTTTAAAAGATATTAAGGTTGTACAAGAAAACACTACCAACAGATGGGGGACAGCCACAAGAATATTATATACAACTGCAAAGTAAATTCCTTTTATGAAAGAATATATACTTTATAGGATTTAAACAAAATATCCAATGATCGCCTAATTTAATGCAGGCTGGTGCATATGTGTGCTTATGTCGTAAGTATGCCTGTCGATATCGCGCGTATAAAATTATGATATGCGAATAATTATTACCGGTGACGTTATGGGAGATGTACGCAATGTGATAATTTTTTATTCTAATTCGATATTAAAAATCTATCCATAATTATATTGCTTCTTGCTCGAAATTTTAAGTATCGCCGAAGTCGCTTCAAGTCATTAGATGCACGAGCAGACGTCGCGACGTCTTCACAAATATCACATCGGGATGCAGTCACAGCATTTCGGTATACTTCTCTTTGTACAGTGTCCTTCTCTCGCGTATCTCCGATTTTCTACCCATATCCGTCGAAAAGCATCCCGTCAATCTTTCCGATTATTCCCCGACGATATAAAAAGAAAAACAATACCGAACCATACGATAAAGGTTGCGTGATATATTTACGGGTTTCGTAATATACGTTACATACACGTAACTTCTTTTCTCTTTCATTTAACTATCAACAATTCTCAGCATTATACAGTGTAAAATTCGTATATTACCAAGATGATACAATTAAGTTCGACGGAAAAAGATGCATCTTCGTGGTTTATTCCCATCTGAATTTCTCCAAAATATACTGTATACAATATTTTAAATTGTACTTATATATATTTATATATATACAGTCTCGTGTATGTGTGCGTGTGTGTTGTGTATGTGTGTATATATGTATATAGTGTTATGCGAGCGCACTCTATTTCTCCTGATGGAACAAGAAATTGAGCAGTACGCGGCACAGTCTAGCTTGTTATCTTAGAAGGTACATATTATCTTTTTTTTTTACTTTTTTCCTTTCTTGCTTAACTTTATTTGCCCTCTCGTGTTTTATGATAATATAGTGCTCCATTTTTTTAAGAAATTCGTATCTAAGCACAGAGGTATTATTCTTCCATTAATTCTCTTAAGACAGCTTATGACAGGCTTTGACTGTCCATGTCATCAGTAATGACATCACTTGTACGCGCCGTAAAAATATTTACATTGTTCAGATTAATAATTAATGGTTACGATACTTTAGTAGTATGTAGTGTTCAGCGGGATATACGAGATCAATGTTTAGGGGGGCTAATCGGCGTAGACAATGAACTGTTGATTGTCCACATCTGCAACTTCAACTTGGACAAATTGAGGCTGTGTAAGTTGGATTTGTTGTACTTGTCTCCCAATCGCGTTCCGGGATCTGAAATTATAAAAAACAAGTTTTAGTCAGATAATTACGTACCTTTTTCTTCTACTTTATATTTTACCACATTGATATTCTGAATTATGCATTTACAATCTAAATTTAAGCAATTGATTTCCTTAATATTTTAAAAAGTAAATTAACATCATTTTACAAACATAATTATTGTCTCTAAATTGTTTCGTCTATTATTCTTCAACCTTGAGATTGCTGGGAAAGCCACTTTTGTGGCTCTGCATAAATCTCGATATTCTGCACCATATATATGTTATTTTTATGTAGAAAAATTGAGAAAAAAAACCACTATTTTAATGAAAAAGAGGCAACACCTAAAGATTAATACGATAGCTCTTAAAATATTTTCACGTTCGTCTTTTCTGTTTTTATCTCAAAACCGAAATATAACAAAGAAGTGGAACTTACTTGGCCTTCGCGTGAGTTAATATATGGGACTTGAGGTTCGTTGATTGCGCAAACTTTTTACTGCATCCGTCGAATGGACATACGTATGGCCGATCACCGGTGTGAATCCTTACGTGGGTACGAAGATTGAAATCCAAACTAAACCTCTTGCCGCATCCTTCAAATGTGCACTGAAACGGTTTTTCACCCGTATGCACCAGCTGATGTCGTTTTAATTTAGAACTTTCGACAAAAGCTTTGCCACATTCCGCGCACACATGCACCCGTGGCCCATGCGTATGCAAATGTTTGCGCATCGCACTGTTGTCTCGAAACATCTTCGTACATCCCTTGTGAGGACATGCAATTGTTCGCTCGACACCGTCCATCACCGGCGGTTTGCGCACCTTCAGTTTATGGCCGGGTCGTGCAAACTCAGCAAGTTGCTTCGGATCCGACAGATCCAAACCAGGCATACCATCTGACACCGAACTATTTGAATTGAACTTGGCATTGGACTTGCCCGTCATGTATTCCGTGTAGTCGGGATCCGGTTCTGGATTCGAACCTTCATCTGGAACATCCACATCCAGGTCAGGCGCTAATAGGATGTTACCTTTAACAGCAACAAAAGGAGAGCGGTCCCAAAAAAGCTACGGTAATTTTTCAATTTTTCGCTAACTATATGATACACAAATTTAATATATCAGATATATATATTATATTTGATATAATATATTAAATAAATGTATTAACTCTATATTTCATGTATATATATATATATACGTATGAAAGTATGCTTGAAAAGAAAAGAAACTTAAACTAATATTATGTAATTAATGCAGGATTATTAAGAGAAATATTGAGGAAAAAATTTATAATAGAACTGCAACAAGATTTCTAATAAAATTATTATAGCAAATTAAATTAAGCCCAAGATAAGGCTAGACATTTTATGTAATTTCTTATAATTTTCTTTACTAAAAAAAGAATGCTGTTGATATACCATTTTTTTCAGTGCACGAACGAGCCAATTAAAACTATCTCTCTCTCTCTCTTTTGCAATTGATATTATTACTTTTGATTTTTGTCAATATGAAAACATCGAATTTTTTTAAACTTTAAATCACGGGATATATTTTAGTATATTTGAACGTTTCTCTCTCATTGCAAGCTTAAAAAATGCGTTTTATTCCGGGAAAATGGGATAAATATGAAATAAAAGTAGGAAAATTTATACCGAAAATAGGACACACGTTATATCACGTCTTCAATATCTAAATCGCAAATTCTTCCCGAAGAAATTACAAAACAATAATAATAAAGCTTATGTCAAGTTTTTTTGCAAAACATGATTTGTCTTTAAGAATGTATTATATTTATTTTTACAAACGCATCAATATTTATATTTTAAAGAAATTATATATACATATATATATATATATATTTATTTGAAAAGTTATGTTTAGAATAATCTCTTTTTTTCAATAGCATGTTTTTATTGTTTATTTACTTTATTTCTCATCATTTTGTAATAAATTAAAATCGAAAAACAGATAAAATTTCAATTCTTTGTATAAGTATTAAGTTTCAAAATAATTTATGTAAAGTTTCATTATAATACAGAAATTAATTACAAAGATTTAAAGGAAATAAAAATATTTTATTTATTTATATATATATATATATATATATAGAACAACCAATCTGCATTGTAACACAATTTTACAGTTTACATGAATTTTTAGAATACTTAAAGTACTAATATAAAAAAAATTAATTTTTATCATTATATAATTTATAACATTTCCATACATTTCTGTTAGAGAACACAGATTAAAAATTTTTACTAAAATAACTTTTGTTCCAAATGGTATATAAACCGACATTAAATTTTTTTATTATTTGTAAATGCAATATCTAAAATAATGTCATTTTTAAAATAACTTTTACTTTGTTTTAAAAATATTTATAATACAGCCTTAAATATGTAATGAAAGGCTTTTTTTTATTTCTACACTCTCTTAACTTATTGCATCATGTATTCAGAGAATGCAGGAATAAAAACAGATTTAAAATATTAAAAAAAAAAACAAGGGAAACGCGAATCACGAAATCATTGCCCATGTTCGAAATTCGGTACACCCGGTATATGCGATCGCGATGCGCAACATGGATCCGTCATTCCCTCGTGACGTCAGAGGTCGGAGCGTTAATTCTAACTTCGGACGCATCTCAGACTGCAGATTCATTTCTTTTTTTCCCCAATGAAAAACTCAGCCAGAATTCATCCTACTTATCACTCTGTCTATTCCTTTCTCTCTCAAAGAGATGAAAAATTTGAATGTATCGACGCCGATAGGACACCGAGTGCCGCGATGCTCCGCAACGTCGCTCGGCTCGTCCTGCGCCGCCATTTGCTTGACGATAAACGGGCGGGCGATCCGCCGCGTTAAAGAGGCCATTTTCAAAATATGGCTGCCCCCGTGGGGCCAAGCATAATGGCGTTCGCGCGATCAAAACAAACAACTCGGCCTGTCAAGCCGGCTGATCCGCACAGCCGACGCGACCGGCCCAGGTAGCCGATTTTTCCACACGGCGATCGCACACCCGTGCAGCGACGCAGTATCGATCTGAGCATCGCACCGGAAGTGCGTACCCGCCCGTGTGCGTGATGGATAACGAAGGGGCCAAGAGGAACGAGGGGGAGAGAGAGACGGAGGAGAGAAAAGAAAGAAACTCCTTTTTAGCTAAGAGCTCGGCGAAGGGAAAGCGATGACGGCGATTAAAAGAAAAAAAAACAGAAATGGAAAAATAGACAGAAAAACGTATGAGAATGGAAGAACGAGATCCAAACGAGGAGAGTCCAGAAGATCGAACGTGTGTAAAAGCGAGACTCACCGTCGTCCGTGCCGGACGCCCACATCGTTACCGAGAACTCGCCCTCCAGCGTCTTGATCTGCACCTGCTTCTGTTCCCATTTTCTAGCCTTGGTCTCGGTAGCCATCTCGCCGAAAATCGCGTGATCGGAAGCACGGAAACGCGTGCCACCGCTCTTACGCGCCTTCTTAGTGGCTTTACGCGACGGCCCGGGGCTGGATTCGACATAAATGTCGTTATCCGGCACCGGGATTTGGTCGTATACGCTAAGCGGATCGGCGCCAACAATCTCCTCTTGCGTCTGCAGTATGATTTCTTCTCGGCCCGGCTCCGGCAATGGCTGCAGCGCTATCATCGGCTGCCCGTCCTCGCCCTCGATCGTCGTCTCCACGGTCTCGCACGGTATCTCCACCGGTATCGCTTCTATCTCGACCTCCTGGATGTCCGGTTGGATCTCCACTTCGGTTATTATGTCCGAGGACGCCATATTAATCTCCGGCGGCGACGCCATGTTAACGTACCAAAATGGCCGGCTCGCCTGGCGACAGCGGAGCCTCGGCGGGGACTCGAGCGTCTCGCGACCACGTGACCGCGGCTCACGTGACGCTGCCCGCCGTCAGAGGGCGCGCCGAGCGCGCGTCGTTGCTGTCGTCGTCGCGGCGCCATCTTGGGAGCGGCGCCCGGACGCACTTCTTTCTTTCCTTTTCTTCTTATTATTTTATTCGCGTTTAGCTTTCGCCAGCTCGATTCGAGGATCGTTCCACTGATCGACGTGATTCAATGTGATTATCGTTTGATCGAGGAAACGGAACAAGGTGTCTTTAAACGACACCTTGAAAGGAATAGGTTAGGAGCAGTTGTCATCGCCACGATGGATCTGTCAAAAATGTCAAACGAGAAGAAACTGTATCTTTGCAAGTGGTATTTTCGTGGTACGTTGATATATATATCGCGAAGCTATAATATAAAGATCCTAATATTGATACATGGAGCAATGATTTATCTGGCACTGTAGAATAGGACAATTGACCCAAATTTTGATAACATGTATGATAACATTGATGTCATACAACTGCCTTAAAGAGACATTTTGGATGTTTCCATAGGAAGAGACAGTGTAACACAGTCATCATATTTCATCTTTGTTTAACATTGGCAAATAAGGATGTCATGATTGACACATCATGTTACTTTGTATTTCTTATTAAAAGATACCTTTTATCATCTGATTCTGGACATGCATGTTGTCCAATCATTTTAAAATTTGAACCAAAGTTTTCAATATCACAATTCAAATCTTAACATATATATGGATTAGCAGATGACATATATATTATAGATTTTATCCTCAAATATGTTAAAAATTGATTGAGAACTAAAATTAGGATTAAACCTCAAGTATGGCTAATATTACAAAATTTACAGCAGTATATGATTCATAGTATCGAAATACAATTTTTGTTGACTTCTTTAGCTGTGTTCTTGATTTTTTGGAATACTTGTTTCTTCTCTCCAAAATATTTTCTTCCAAAATCTAAATATGTATATATAATTTAAGTACAGAGAGAAAAAATAACACGCACAGCCAAAAGTCACATTTTACATCAACTTGCCAATATTTTCTTCTTCTCTTTGTTATAGCTGGTTTTGCACTGCTACCATTCCTATGGGCCGTAAATGCAATTTGGTTCTCAAAAGAAGCTTTTGTAGCACCACATTACGAAGAACAGGAACAGATTAAGAGATGTTGGTGTCGATCAATTTATTTCCTACAACAAATTTTAGCTTCTCCTCTCTAACAATACGCATTTATGTTTCTTTCAGACGTAATTTTCTCTGCTGTTGGAGCAGTCATTTGGACAGCTATTTTATTAGCTTGGATAATAATCTTCCAAACTCAAAGAATTGCTTGGGGTGAATTCGGTGATTCTATCAGCTACATAATTCCCGCCGGTATTCCTTGAGCTTGACACCCCATAACAGTAATTTATTGCAGAAATGCATTCAACAATTGTTTTAAACTTTGTAATATATTTGTCATAAGTTCATATGGTAACATCTGATATGTAGCATATACAATAAAAAAATAACATTCTTTTTTACATTTTGTATACATGAATAAAAAATACCAATTTCGAAAAGTAGCAGCGCGCTATTAGCTTTCCTCTATTTAAAATTACAATTACATGCGTGTAGCAATTATGAGAACAAGTTTCTACCCAAAATATACTATTTCCATATATTTAAATTCCTCTCGTGAACTTCTTTAAAGAGATACGAGAGTGTAAATTATAAATATACAGATTCAAATATGTAAAAGCTCACATACCTTTCCACACCTACACGCAACAATTAGCGAATTTTATTTCGCACATTCTACATTTGAATAACTCTTCGTCTTTGCACATACAATCTTATATCTCTGTAAACTAATCTGGACAGAAGCTGAAACAGTAAAACAGTATGCACGTTATTTGTATGTAATATTTTGTTACAAATTTTTATATCAATGAACAAACAAAGCAAACTCACCAATAGAGCGAATAAATCCGCGCACATGAGCATATAGAACACATTGTGCCATCCGCCCCATCGAGACACTAAACCTGCTAACAGCGGACCAACTGCAGCTCCAATACTACCAGTTCCATCGATAATGGCAGTCACTGTAGCTAAGGCTTTTGAATTTTCTCCTAAGCTAGGATGAGTTCCCAATTCGGTAGATACAGCAGTCGTTATTAATGCATACGGACCGTTCACTAAAAGTCCTCCTATCAGCAGTAATACTATATTGACGCCTAGGCTAATATTTCCGATAGAGTCGTATACAAATAACTGAAATATAAGACACATATGTGTTAAAATGACCAAATGTATATACATTTAAATTTATATTTATAACGCTACACAATAAAAAAATTAATTATTTTATATATTCTATATTTATTGCATATTATCATTTAGTAAAATAAGAACATCCTTTAGAACATGCTTCATTATTCGATGAATTTATAATAATTTATATAGGCAATAATATTTTTTGCAGTTCATTGATAATTAATCTAATAAGTTTGTTATTTTGTAACTGCAAAAACATGTGGCAAAATTCAATGTATTAAGAAAAGATTGTACTCACCGCGGGGAATGCAAGTCCAAACATCGCGGCGCATGTTAATGCGCTCATGCCACTATAATCGGAGATGATACCAGCTGCTATAGCGCCTATTATGCCACCCACATCAAACAGAGTCGACAGATCCGCGCTCAAAGTTGCATTGTATGTAGCTGCAAGAAATTCTTATTGAAAACAAAATTATATAACGAGATACTAACAATAAGATTATTATTGCGGATACCTACTTGTAGCTGCGATGTACAATGGTAACCAATAGAGGAATGTATAGCTAACAAGCTTCGCGAAAAATAGCGATAAGGAATATTCGATGACACCTGGTATCTTTATGGCTCCTATGAAGTCGATCGCGCTATTATTAGATATATTATGATCACGTCGGTGTCCAGATAACATCGGGCTGGTTTCAGAGCGCTCATTTGTCACAATCTTTTAAACATATAAATTACATGTTACTACTAATAATATTTATATATGTTAGATGAAAATTGTTATGTGTTATAATGACACATTGCTGTTCAATACATATTCTTACACGGTTTAAGAATTACAAATATATGTATGCACCATATATGTAACACATGCATTGCACTAACGCGTGATTTATGTTACATTTTAAAGCTAAATAGCAGTGTTAACGGTAGAGTGCATGCACTTACGTCGGTAGCAAGTTGTTCACGATAGACGCAGCGATAGATGACACGCTAGATACAGTAGATGCTTACTTATTATGGAAGTGTAAAAACAATAATTCTACTAAAAATAATTAAACTTGACATGTGTATTATTGAAAAAACCTAGGAAAACTAGAAGAAATAAAATTGTAATCAGAAAGAAACGTAAAGTAGAGAACATGCTTATAATTGAACTACAAACATGCTATTTGGTGTGTTAATTGGCAAATGTATTATACTACAAATTTTATTAAAATTAAAAAACGTCTATTATGCTAATACTACTTGCTGAATAAAAAAAAACGTCAAAAATATTAAACAACAATGGCGAACTTACATCCTCATTAACACTACGAGATTCATAACCTACGTCAGCCGAGTCATCGTCCGAGCTATTCGTTATATCAATTTTCCGATATCCGAGGGAAGCGGATGAACTGTATCCTATGTCGATAGGATTTGGTATTAGGAACAAGAAGATGACGAATCCTATCAGTCCCATTATTACTCCAGGCACTATGAAACTCAGGCTCCAATCGGACTCGACGTACGCCGCTGCGATTAAACTACCTAATATATTTCCTAAGGATGTATGAGAATTCCATATTCCAAAGATCAAGCCACGCTTGCCTTTTCCGAACCAATTTCCCACAACAGTTACTACACCTGGCCACCCAGAAGTTTGGAAGATTCCACCTAGTGCCTACGTACAAAAAAGGGAGGAAAATGTGAAAGAACGTCTTTGTCAATGTGTTTTATGATGTATGCTTTTCATTTAATAATAAGTTGACACAAGTCATTCTATTTTTCTTAGCATTTCGGGAGCAATAAAGACAAAATAATACTTGTATCAATTTGTGCCACCAAATGAAAGCATTTAATGTATTAATATTTTACCTGTACAAAAATAAAATACCACAGATTGTGAATATTGTATGGTTTTGCGATTCCAAACAGGTAGCATGATATGCCTGACATAAGCATACCAATGGAAAGGAAGTATCGCAGATTTACTCTCTCCGCTATGAATCCACTGTATGAAAAAAAAAAGACAATATAATTGATAAAATTTCTTCATGCTATAATGAGTAACAAACTCATTTCAAGATATCCACCTGAGAAACATAGCCACAGCATATGCAAACAAAAATGCTGAGTCCAACATGCCAAGTAACGCCGGTGCATCCTCCGTGTCTGTAAAAATAACATAGCACATATTATTCACATATTCGAATGTTTGTTTCTTCCATGCACACAGAAAAATATACTAAGAAAAGTAATCACTCAGTCTTTACTTTTTTCTTTAAATAACAATAATCTTTAACAAAGAATATTTTATGATAGGTGAGGCTTAATTAAAATATAATTTTTACAAATTTTATAGAAAACTCATTATCATGTACTCAAAATAAGAATTTCTTTTAAAAAATATTATAAAATTTATGAAAGATGCAATTTTATATAGAAATAATTGAATTTTAATTTAATAATCTTAAAGTATATTAAAATTATTAGGATTCAAAACATATTTTGAATAATGTAACAACATAACTAATATGAATATGAAGCCTATAACAGTCTTAAGATGTATTTGTATTAGTTATGTTCTTACATTAATAGTCTTTACTATTGAATATTGTATATTTTGAATAAATTTCGAGTATATGAACTTTTAAAATACTTAAAACAAATAATTAATATTTAAATACTATATGTATTTTTCTATATGTAATATTATCTATTATCTCTCCTTACCAAATGGAGCCCAATCACACCAGGTATCCCGATTACTAGCATTTACAAAAATATCCGCAGGTACTGGTAAATTGCTACAATTGAGACTTAGAACGTTTTTCACTACAGATATCGGTTTCCGAGTCAAATGATAACAAGTATATGCTAGATAAGTTAATGCCAATACGCCTCCTTGGTGCCATGCCATCCAATTGACACGTCGATGTTCACAACAACCGTGGCACATGCATCTTGTACATTGCAGACCCCATGGCAAATCTTTCATCGGTCCATTCATATTAATACTTTCTTCTAGTATTCAGCAGTATATTTTGTACTCTTTTTGATCGCAGTATTCTCTTTGTGCACTAGCAAGATAAAATAATCTTTACCTCTTATCGTTATCAATGTATATAAATGCAATTGGAGAGATTTAAATAAATAATATTCAGATCTCGCAAATAAATATTAAAAATATTAATTAGCTAAATTGATGAACACATAGAGATCTCTTATGCTCTCTCGACGAGTTATTCAAGTACGGTGTTATTTTCACGATGTTTTGCATAGTACTGATTGTTCGTTCACAATCGTCCAGTGACAAAGTGTCAATCAAAGTCTAAACTAAGTTTTGACAATGACACTATAACAGTGGTAAATAAACGCAGCTGTCAATATAACCTAAGAACACAGAGGAAAGATATCTATAAAATGTTTAAAAAGTGATGACTAGCGACTGAATATCACTTACAGTTGAAGGAGAGATTCCGGGAGTAGATAAAAATTTTTCGTAAATGCAGTCTTGCCTATTGTCTTTCTTCTCCCTCCTTTTTCTTCGAAATGCAGTGTTTATACTACGAGATGAATATTCTAATATCAGCAACGCCCATGGCCGCACACCCACATAGGTACGTTGAGCGAATGTCTATTGCGTCGATGTTAATTGCAACGTTTTTAAATATAATAATTGTTACATGATCCTTGAACAACTTTAGTACCACATTAAGATAAACATATCGATTGCGTTGTGCGACTCCATTGACGTTATGAGTCACGTTCGATTTGAGGTTATGTCGCGACAAATATTATTCTAGTGTGTAAATATTTTTCTCCGAATTTTTTAAAATTTCTGAGTAATTTTATAACATTTTAAAAAGTTGCACAGATTTTTTTATATGAATTGGAACATTTCAGAAATGCCAAAAAAAGTCTACATCATTTTTAGAATTTTTTGTATATATGAGTACTAAAATTATAATTTATATAAAAATTCTGAAATAAATTTTTACCAGATTCTTTAAAAAGAAAAAGAAATTTAAAAAATTAAAATTTTGTATGTGCACAGATATAAGTGAATAATATTTATTTATATAGTATATTTTTACATTACTGCTAACTTATGATTATAGAACAGTGTTTGACAGATATTTCAATTTGGACGATTTACATCATAATAGAATGCCATGAGTGACCTCAGAATGTATCCTTATTTTAGAAATTATGTGTTTATGATAAGATTTGCGCTATCCAAGTTACTACTTTTAAAACCTTAACTTTACACAGAGAGTTGTCCGTGCCTTTTCCAAGCGCCAGAGAAGCAGAAGTTGTATATCAAGTGCTTCGAGTTGACAAGGAACCACCGCGTAGCAGAATCACAAAGAATCTTACGTTAAATAATAACATTTTAGAAGTGTAAGCTTAAAACTATATTAAATTTTTGTAAATATTATTTTATTGACATTTTCCATTTTCTGTGCAGTTCATTCAGTGGTAAGGAAGCAAGGAAAGTACGTGTAGCACTTACATCTTTCTTTGATAGTCTACTACTAGTCACAGAAACCATTGAAAAATTCGGTCCACCTGAGCCGATATACAGTCATTACGGAGTCGACAATTAGTATTTGGCTGTTGATCATATTTGGCTGTTGATTTTAAATTATATGCATTATGGAGCACACTCCTGCGCCTTACGGCCCCAGGGCTGTCTATGGATATGCCATGTACATCGGATCAAATATGCTGTTCCTGTTGTATGTGATATGGGCGATAATACCAGACAAGGTGTTGCATGATTATTTAGGCTTAACATATTGGCCCTCCAAGTATTGGGCAGTTGCGATTCCTATATGGGCATTGACTGCTCTAGCCACATTTGCATTTTTAATTTATCCTGCTATCAATATGTTAATAACTCCGGACATCGATGATATCCGGACTATTACGGACAAATACGCCCTACAAAAAATCGAAACTACTCCAGATGGAATACCAACTGTATCTGACATACCGATCACAGAAGTCTGTAGGAAATTATATTTAAGAAAAAATAACTTATAATTATTTACGAGACTAATTATAATTTTTTTTACATTGAGGTGGATGCACGTACAATTAGAAATAATAATTAACAAACGCATGTTATGCGAATCTGATAAATAAATAATGAACTCTGAGCGTAGTGTGAAAGCTCTTTCTTTAAAAAATCTTCTAAGAAGCCAAATATAATAAATGTTACATAGATTTACATTGTAATTGAAAGTCATTTTCATATTATGCATATGCTTGTATTATGCATAATATTATATAACTTGTATTTGGGACCATTTCAAAAATAAATGAATTTTGTTCTATAATATATTAAAATAAAATACAAATGTACATCAGATATGTATGATACATGTAATTTATGCATTTATTATTATTAAGTTATATATGCAACATCGAAAGATTAACATTGAAGATCGATATTGTTTTTCTTATAATATAAAAATTAGTGATACACACATATACATACATATTTTTTGTGTCTCTACATATTATATACATAAATGTGTAATACTGTGTACATTACTGCAAGAGATGTTATCTTCTGGAAGAATATACCAATAACAGCGAGCGCTCTCGTAGCGCTCTTTTCTGCTGAATGCGCCCACTGACATTACATAATTCGATACTCATTAGTATTGTCCATGGAATGAGATTTGATTTATAATGAGAAACTTAATTTTCGAAAAGGACATATGCGAGAAGAATGACGCTGATGGAAACAACAATCCTTCCACATCATATTTTTATACTGAGAATTCTCACAAGACGGTCGTGGATCTGCGGCAATTGTTAAAAGATAAAATTAACAAAAACGAGATATTTTGTAGCTTCGAAATTGTTTCTACGAAGAAACCCAGTACGTTTTATCGAAGGTCTGTATAGCTAAAGACATTGGAATTAGAGCACCAATGTAATACAATAATGAGCTTTAGAATTAGAATGTTAATATATACAAAGTGTTTTTTCTCGAAACTTTCGATATGGATTCGAGATGATATATCTATTGAGGTTATAACTGTTACATAAAGTTATAACTGTGTATGATCTTAGATTTTCTTAAAATATAATTATTAATATATTAATAATTATAATAATTAAATTATGTTACTCTCTTGAAAAATTACCGAGTATCACAATCATGATATATTAAAAATATATAATATCTATATATAAATAAATATTTATGGTGTATAAATGTATAATGTGAGTATTATAGGCTTCTCTTAGATATGGAAGAGTATTCGCCTCTCTTTTACGCATTAACGTGGCATAACGAAGCAGCTTCCGATAATGATAGTTATCTGCCATTGGATCTGGTGGAGAATTTTCCACTCAATACTCTTTTACATCTAGCAGCTAAGGGTTTAAAACGAGACGAAGTCGTTTATATCTTAAAAAAAGCTCTTACTTTTGGAATAATTAATATATTTGCATTACGAGGAGGTAATTTAATTTTTCTGCCAAACTCTCCCCCCCCCCCCAATTACCTTAAAATCGCCTTGTATTTATATTTATAATCACAAATATATCTCTAGTGTTTTGTTAACGTGTGAATAAAATTAATAATATTTTAAATGAAAAAAAAATTAGATTAGAATTAATTGACAACAGATTATTTAAAAACTTTGCAGTAAATACAGTCCAGAGTCCAGTCAATGACCGATTATAAAGATTAGTTGGAATTTGATCGAAGTGCTTTTAAATTGTGTTAAATCTTTCGCAAAATTCGAATTCCTAAAGAAGAAAAAAATTTAAATATTAAGATATACGTTTGCTTAGATTTAAAAATATATTTTTAATTTGCTGAGATATATTCCGGCAAATTCGAGATACGATCGCATTAGTGTAATATATATGTTAAACGATTGATTTGCACATGCCTGCAATTACCATATCCGGGAGAATTCGCGATAAACCGGTCCTGGAATAACTCGTGTTTTATTGATCGGTCTAAATGTTTAAAGCCTAATCAACAACATGCCTTTATTTCTTCTTATTTTTTACTGCTTTTCAAGCCTAATCTACAACGTGCTCTCTCTGTTTCATGTCTTTTGTTTTTTTTTAACACTTTGCATCTTATCCAGTTTCTTTGTTTTCTGTAACTAGAAATCAAAGGTGACGAACTTTGAAAGCGACAAGGATTATACGTAAAAAAAAAAACAGAATAAAACTGTCGCAAAGAAGAAAAAAGACATGAAGGAAAAAGCAAGAAAGCAAAGAATATATTGAAGATTTAATATAGTTAGAAAATTTAATAATTTATTCCAACACGAATTATTTAAAAGACCTCAATTTTTATAATGTCTTTTTCAGATAACTTTTAGATATGTGTCCCAAAAGATCATATCTCTTTTTGATATTTTTATAACGTTTTTTTAGACATATGCATGTAGTCTAAATTGTCGGGAAAGTACACATTTAGTCGAATTACAGATTCATTATCTGAGAATGGTGACTTCGAACATGCAGCGGATCTGGTAGCTTTTATCAGACAGCGGTTTGGCGATACGTTCTGTGTGTGCGTTGCGGGTTATCCGCAAATGCATCCCGAATCTGCCTCCAAGGAATTCGACTTGCATTACCTGAAAGCGAAAGTAAAGCAACGATCAACGACATATTATGTAAAAATATCTCTGATTTATCGAGCAAGAGATGACCCATATAACACAAAAGCAGCAACATTGTGTATTGTTATCTACACTGTACTCGATGCATTTTTTCTTGGATTGCTTGTGTTTTAATAAATTTTATAAAAGTTAGAATCTCATGTAATATACAGAATTATTTACTAAGCGTGAACAATCCAGGAAAAATGCATTGTGAGTTATAGGCATTACGATAATTAAATTTAGTTTAATTTAAATTTCTAGTAAAAATTTTGGTATATATACAGTAAATTTAATTTATACTTCTAATAAGACTTGCTCGAGAATTTTCCAGCAAGCAGCAATTCCAGATTTGAAATACTTCTAGGTGGAGGCAGGTGCGGATTTTATCATAACTCAAATATGTTTCGAATCTCGAGTCCTAATAGACTTCGTGAAGGATTGTCGAGAGATCGGGATCCAAATCCCGATTCTACCCGGCATTCTCGCGCCGACAAATCACGGGTGTCTAGAAAAAATGATAGATATATGCAGGCTCGACGTGCCGATCGACATTAAAGACGATTTGGCACGAATGAAGGACGACGATCAAGCGGCAAGGAAATATTCAGTCGATCTGATAACGCGGATAATTACGGACGTAATCAGAAGTGGAGCCACGTGTGGTTTTCATCTATTCACACTAAATAGGTAAAACATCAATAGTGTTTTAAATTTAAACGAGAATAATTATAAATTAAAAAAATTATATTTGCATATTTCACGTATTTATATTGTAGATTATCGCTGATAGCGGAAATATGTAAACACATAGAATCCGTCAAAGCTGAAAACCTAGCAGAAAAAATATTTTGAATTCTAGGATCGAAATAAAATTTTAAATCAAATTAATTTTTTGTCGAAATAAAATAAAATCGATTGAGGATTTTTATTATATATATTATTATATATGCGCGCTTTATTAATTTATAGTATTAAAATTCATTGTGATTATTCAATTGTATAAACACATTTATTATATAAAATGAGACATTTTAACGACACTATTTAATGTGGGTAAAGTATATTTTCCATTTATAAGTAATACAAATATCTTATTTTATCTTTTTGAGTACATATTTATAATGAGTGCAAAAGCGAAACAATTTGTGTTAACTTGTATCACCAAATGGAAAGCATCCAATATGGTCTGCCAAAATAAAATTAACTTAAATTTAATTTCGATTTAATTTACCGTTTATCTTTTTCTAATTCTTAGAATTCTTATAAGTAATTAGAAAAAGATAAAAAATAAATTGAACCAAGAGTAAAGATATAATTCTACATTAACAGAATCGGGTCTCAATTAATTGGTAGCATAAATATAAAAGAATACGTTTAGCAGAGAAAATTATAATCAGCAGGTCTGTTCATATTGCTTAAAATCCTCAAAAAATGTTCATCTTTTCTCTTTTACTCTCCAACGTAGAAAGAAAAGGTAAAAATGAACCGTGTAAAAATTTCACCTAAAAAAACATCTATATATGTATATTGAGATGTTGCGAAGAGAAAAGGCAAGAATAATGTCATGAGTACAAAAAATCCACTCGGCGATTCTTTGATGCGATTGATCTGTACCTTTTAGAATTAGCGAAATTAAAGGTAATAAGAATCAGTAAGAATCAATCATATTAAAAAGAATAATCACTGAACGTTTATTGTATCGACCAATTTTTTTTACTAAACAGCCAATAGTTCTCGCCTTTCTCATGTGGATATAAATACATAATCCAATCATATTGAAGAATTTTACAACAGAGCTGCGAAGTTACTTTCTCCGCTGAATGCAGGCATCGTGAAATTTTGGGTCGGGGCACACCGCGCCCGCAGCCGCTCCTGAAGCGGTCTGAAGCACGCCGCGATCGGGCGCCGCTCAAATGCATGCGCGCGCAGCGTAGCAGCGAAAGCGGCGCGGCCGGGGCTGGCGGATGGAGCGGAGGCGGCGGAGCCAGTCGAGTCGAAGCGCCGTAGCACCGCGTGGTCCGGTCGATTAGTTAGACGGTCGAGAGTCGGTCAGTTCGAGGGTACGTGACACCCGCGCAGGATACAACCCACGCAAGAAAGAGGATGGCGCTATTCCGCTTTACCACGAAACGCTGCCTCGACGTGCAGGTGAGTCGTTCGATTATCTCCCCTAAAACCTCGTTTTTCCCCTTTCTCACCCCCTTCTTTTTCCCCTCGCATGAGGAAGCTGGCGCCGCTCGCACGCGCTTTCGCGCCCTTCGAATTTATCAGTTGTTTTTGTTCAATACGAAGGAAAAAAAGAATTCGGTGGGTGTTCGAAATTCGAAATTCCACAGGCACGAACACCCTCGACAATCAACCATAGGGCGGCTTTCCGTCGACCGCGGTGGTTTTCATCGCCGCGAACGGCTGACCGCAGTGTTCTCTATCGACCGGCTTGGACGGAACCCTCCCGTTTCGCGAAAGAAACGAGGATGGGCTTCCGAATTAGTCGATAGAGAGACGATCGAGCGACCGATTTCACGATCGGTCTTTTTAACGGGACTTGTCCGAAACAAAATAGATGATTTTGAAAAGGGCATTTTCTGAGTGTGTGAGTCGTATACCTGTGTACTTCTTGCGGGTATGTTGATTGATCATTGTGTGCGAGGAGCTCACCGTGAAATCATAGACCTTTCGTTTTTTGGCCGAGCGGCAGTAGAGAGAGAGAGAGAGAGAGAGAGAGAGAGAGAGAGAGAGAGAGAGAGAAGGCGGCAAACTGCGGTTTAGCACACGTGTATACCTGACCTTGCAGGAATATTATTAGCGGAATATTATATGAATATTATATGAACAGAATAAGTTTGTTAAAGTGAATAAATAGCTTTGTATTAAAGTTTCTTTAATGCCTGTTTCCACCAATGCAGATTAACTTTAATCTCGGTTTAACTTTTACCGTTCATCTTTTTCTAATTTTTAGAATTAGAAAAAGTTGAAGAGCAAATTGAACCGAGATTAAAAGTTAATCTACATTGGTGGAAATGAGCATAAATGGGGCTTCTGTCGTTATATTTGTTTCCACGTCTATGTATTTTGTCTAAATATGTCTGCTAGGTGTATATACCGCGCGTGATTCACGTGACTCGATTATGTTGAACATCGACTTAGAATAGGTTTGTTAAAATGAGTAAAGTTATCCAACAAACACAAAGTTACATGTGACGTTGTAATTTCCCACTCAACAATATAACTATAATTTAATTTTAACGTATATTACAGTTACATCGTATATTATATTATAACAATTTAACTGTAATGTAACACACCTGTTATATTACAGTTGTATTGTTGAGTGGGCAATTACAATTAACATGTACGTCACATGTAACTTCGTGTTTGCTGGATAGCGTTGTATTAAAATTCCTTCAAATGAGGTTTATTCGCATTATACATTCATTTTCTTTCTCTCTCATGTCTATATATTTAACCTAAATATGTCTATCTATATGTTGCGCGTAGTTCACGCAAGACTGGAGCTTACACAGAGTTAATAACGATTAGAAAGAAATTAATTCGTCCAAGTCCGTTACTTGTGATTTTTTTTTTTTTAAGAATTTCGTCGACAAAATGATCATAAAATCTTATACTCGTATACCCGGTGTCTCAGAAAACCGTAACTTCTTTTTCTTTTTTGTCGGGAAAAGATCTCTCTCTCTGGAGTCTGTTAATTCGATATTGAATTCGGCATTGAAGTTCCGAAGTATGTTGCAAAGAGAGAGAATTGCATAAGAATTGGATTCCAAGTTTTTTTTTAACATTTAAGTCGATCGATCCGCAACAGTCGATGCCACGTGCCTTCATATGTAACTCCGGTAATGCACTCGGTGACACATCACAGGCACGTAAAGGCATCATGTTTGTCAGCGCATTGAATCGATTCGGGAACGTCACGAGTTCGCAACGTTCCAGGAATGGTATAAATTTATTTATTGCAAATAGATTCTTGCATCCGAGTAAACATTCCTTTCAACCTTCTTTAAGTTGAACTTTAAATGATACTTTATATGGAGGAAAATCTCGCAATACGTATTCTACATATCCAGTAACAAGAATTAAGGTTTCCCATCAGCACGAATAATATTTTGACATAAATAAATGTTTATCTGACATTGACGCGTGGTATATAATATATTCATTTAATAGTAGTATAATTGAACATAAGAAACATGCATGATATACAATATTTGTATCTAAAATATATTTTGCATTCAAATATAGAGAAATTATATTATAACAGTGGCATCGATGGATTTTGTATTTAACAAGATAAAATTAATCAGGAGATAGAGAGAGAGAGAGAGAGAGAGAGAGAGAGAGAGAGAGAGAGAGAGAGAGTTATACAATTTTATATTTATATATACCAGGAAAAACAGCACTGTCGTAAATGATTAATGGTAATAAGGCTATCACTGTTTAAAAAAGTAGATGAATAGCTGAATCCTTGAGTTTAATTAATATACACATTTCACGCAGTCTTTCCATCTCTAACAGTCTTTTAAAATAATAGTTCTCTAACTGATAGTCTTAGAGCTTGGACAGAAATGACTCGTGCTGGCTTCATCCGTGAGGCTCTGTAGATATATCTGTGCTCGCGACCCATATTTGGTATTAATTACGACGTTAATTCTTGCATAACGAAAGTTTTTAGCAGAATATCAATATTAAACGCTTGACTTTGCCGATACAATCAGATACATTCGTAAACGCAAGTGCAAACGTCAGCTCTATTGTAGTTCGCATGAATTATTCATTCTTCCCACAACTAAGGTGGATACTGACGAAAGGATTTAAGAAACAGAAACTCATCGTATTAATTTACATTGGCATATTTTAAATTGGTAGTAGAAAAATTATCGTAAAAAAGAATGGTCGAGTTTATGAGCGAATCGATGATGATGTGTTCTTCACTGCAAGACTGACGCCAGATTTTTTTTCTCTCTAATTAATGCATACGGAATTTCATGACGTAATAGGAAAACCGCATTGTGTGTGTCTCTCTTTCCCTTCTCTCTCTTATTTCTCTTTCTCCTTACTACTTTTATTAATTATATATTTCCGTCCTAACATTTTTCTTTCATTTTTATATTTTTAGAAGGACTTGTCCTATCTTATATATAAAAATAAGACAAAAATATAATGATAGAAATATGCGATTAACAAAAAAAAAAAAACAATAAACGCCTTTATCTATTTATTTATCTATCTCCTCTATTTTTCTCGTGAAAAAGAGACAGAGAGGAGATAAATAAAGAAGAGCAAATACTACAACCAAAATCGACTCGCGTGCATTCGTCTGACTGACACGCGTCGCATGACTTCGCGAAATTAATTATACGCAGTGATCGAAAAAGACGTGTCCCTATCTAGGAATAATTTTTAGCATTTTGGATGATGGGATAATTCACGAGTTTTTAAATCGCACGGTTTAAATGCAATTTTCGATATTTATCGATATTTTATATCATGCTTTTAGAACTCCTGCACACGTATTTCAGGAAGCACAGTAATTTAAATCAATATTTTTTTTATTTACTACTACTATTGACGTTATTGTCTTACGTTCTCTACTGTGATTGGTCGATTTACTTAACGTTTAAGTCTTACTGCTTGCGTCTTTCTGTGTGACCATGGCCCTCATACTACTGCACAGTGCATACTTTACCCCGTAGAACATAGTCTGTCCGCATCATAGTTCGCAGCACGCTCCGACGTGTTACGACACGTTTTAGAACAGAAGACTGTCTGAAGCTCGAGCGATGTTTTTTAATTGAATTAGAATCAATATCTTAGTACGAGGTGGCTATAATATTTTATAATTATATGTGTGCGGCTAACATTTTATAATTACATAGGTATTACTTATGTATTAAATAACGATAATAACATCCACGGAGGAGTTGCCAATAAATCTTAATTTTTCAGACTTATTCTCTCTCTCTCTCTCTGTCAAATATATTATCTGAGAGATTTGAACTCTCGAGATGCAGAAAGGTGACGTAACGATCACGCGGAATTCCTTGAAAAACGAGGTTTTTGCCTTTCCGTGCTCATAATGAGAAAATATGAACGAGGCGTTGCACAACGCGCGCACACGTGAGCACACGTAACCTAAAGCAGAGCTCTTGTGTACGCGCACGTGGTATGCACAAGAACGCGGTACTCGACTCCCCTTCGTCTCGCTGGCGCAGAATGTCCATTGAGCAGTTTTGCAAGACGCTCGGCTAATTTTAGCAGCGATTTCGAGGCCGAAAATCCTCTTGCTGTCCCCGTAATCTACATCGACCCGACCGTAACCCTGCTAGTCCCGCATCTGGCGTTCTAATTAGGCCGAGTTGCCTTAATCGCCAAGTCATCCTTGAGGGTCGAGATTCTCTCGAAGATCGACTGGATATCTTCTATATTTTAAAATGGGCTCATCACGGAAAAAACGGTTTTCTTATAATAAATACCTAAATTTTTTCTATTTAGATACACATATCTGAAGCCAATTTTATTAAACTATCAAATAATTATGTAGGACGCTCAAATGAGTTGTTGATTAATGGTTAAATAATTATTTTAATGGTCTAATAAAATTATTTTCAGATCCGTGTGTAGCTAAATTTTTATTTCAATAAATCATTCTTCTTTCCGTACACTTCGGAAAATCGAGATTCTAAAGACATCAAATGAATTCACCGAGTTATTTTTTTTTTCCTTATACGGTAGACTCGTACAGAGGTTACGATGTCAAAGAGAGATTACATTTTCTAATATTTATCATATGTAAATATCTATAACGAGGAACTAATGAGACGTACAATTAGAGGTACCTGAGTGAATTTTTTATATCGTACGATTCTTGGCAGGCTTGGCGTAATTTTGTTGTCGTGTGTGCGACTGTATATATAATTATACGTCTCACCTCTTACCTAATGCCGACGATGCACGATGGCCTATCACGAGTAACAAATTATTTCAGAAATAATTCTTTCATTTCGAACCTGAACGCGCGTCGTTTATTATTAGATTTTTCCACTTGACTTGACTTCATGTCAACGCGCCTTTTTCTGTTATCGGGTATTTTATAAAAATGTAAAACAATTTTTTTTCTCTGTTTGCAAATCTTT